ATGCCGCCCCTGACAACTTGCCGCCCTGGGCGACCGCCCAGGTCGACCCTATCAGAAACCGCCACTGTGTACACATAATAATTTTCAGTGTTTATGAGAGAACGATGTTAAAACACTGTTTCTATGCAGGAAATACCAGGAAGAGGTCAGTTATTATTTGTTAGTGGTGCTCAGCTGTAGTAGTGAGACTAAAAACGTGACGTTTTGTGTTTAGTTGAAGTTAATTACAACTGGCCTGTTGAGGGCCAGTTTGATGGTCATGTGGCCCTCTGTGAAAATGAGTTTGACACCCTCGCAATTCTTCAAATAATTTGTATATTTATGATGGCTTTAGAGAAACTTTTTATTGCTGCAACAAAAAATGTACATATTTGTTCATCAAACTGCAGCAGTTTTTAACACAAGTTTGAAATAAATCTAACAGAGGATCAAGCATTAATTAGGTAGGCGTGAAGTAGTCAGTTGCATATAAACTTCTGTTTTATATTGTCCTGATAGATGAACTTGAGGGTTAAAGGTGCACTTTTTAAAAAAACACTTAGTATTTATGGTAAATGTCTTTCAGAGCAAATTCTGCCGTAAAGAGAGAAAAGACCTAATAAACAGGGAAATTAATAGACGCATCCCTCCGTGAACCGAAATAGAATTAATCATGTGGTAATCCATCTGAACAAGAGCCCCGTGTTGTCTTTTTAATACTCGGAAAGATAACAAAATGTTTTATGACCAAAATTGGGGTCAACGAGCTGTGAGAGCAGATGAGGAACTATTTAAAGCTCCGAGGTTGCGACTCTGCTGTAACGGTAACTAAAATAACATTAGTCCGAGACTTGTGGGAACACGGTTGATGTTGAGAAGATCACTGAAGCTGAGGGCCTCAGATTTCTCCTGCTGTCCTGCGCTTGGTGATGGGCCGCCCTGTGGGAAAGCGAGCGGTCATGTCGGATCTGACACACGGTAACATCACCTCAAGAATTTCGCGGCTGGACATGTTCTCAGCAGTAAAACCTTTGAAACAACAAACAGGCTGACGTCCTGATTCCACAGAGATTTAAAAATATCACAGCACACTTAAGGCAATGGAGGAAAAAAACCTGTAAAAACATTTTACAGTAATGTAATGCAATTTTTCAAGGGAATCTGAGACTAAGTGAATCAGTGCTYTGGCTTGGAGAGATTTTATGAAAACAGTTATTTCCCAGTGTAGAATAAAGTAGCAGCTACTGCTGATGTCCCCTCTGACATATTAACCTGCTTTGATGCTGAGTTGCTTCCATCCAAACAAAACACACTTGTATCACTTAATACTTATAGATAAAGTACTTACTTACTGTATATTGGCAATCAACATATACATTTTTGTTTCCATACACAACACCAAGGGATTTTATTGTTTGGTATACATTTAAAATAATAGGACCTTGTGAGCAATAAAAACAAACATGGTTTTCGAAGAGTTAATAAAAAACAAGCACAATTGAAAAATTAAAAAATTAAAACAAAAAAACATTTTTAATAAAAGCAAGTGTCCCTGAATAACAGCACAAGTGAGCAGAAAAAATTTAAGAATTTATGACGGGAATCCAATCTCTCTGTACGAGAACGCAGGGTCACAGAAGGGTTAAATCAAATAAACAGTAGATCTTGTTCAGCTGCTGGTCTGTAACCCCGTACCATTAAAMAAGCTGGAAACAAAACTTCTGAAGTGAGGCCCTGTTTTATCCAGCGTCAGGATCAGGAATGCCGGGATTAAATGTCAGGGCTCTTTAAGGACAAGTCTTTATCAGATACTTTTAAGGTTTGCACATTTTTAGTGTCCTTTAACTACAAATATTTTTGCTTTGAACCTAAATTAGCAAAATGTACACTCAGAAAGCAAAGGCATTTAAAAATGTCTGCCATCACATTAACCACAATAAATAAATTGTGTAAAACAATGACAATCCTGCCCACCATGATGTGCTTTAGAAACTAAAAGAAGAATAGAGTCACTTTGAATGGTTTCCTTTCTAAATTCATCTATAGAATTGTTAATGTGATAAAACAGTATTTCTTTATATGTTTTTTTTTGTTGTTGTCTTAATTAGGTTTATTTGTGTTTTGAGATTCTTGTGTGTAGTTCTCTTCTCTGTGTATATTTCATTGTGCCATCAGTCACCTCTCTTCATTTAATTTCTACTTTCTCAACCAAGCCTGCCACTCTGTTTCATTTAACACAGCTGCAGCCACTCTTCCATCGGGTCTAGCTTACAGTCCTGGGGTGACAAACTTATTTTCACCGAGGGCCACATAAGTGTTACAGATATGTTTTGTGTTTAGCTTTGACTAAAACATGTCTCAATGCTACGGCTAAGAACTTCTAACAATAACTGAGCTCTACATGGTATTTCATCCATAAAAACAGTGTTTTAACATGTCGTCTTATAAACACTAAACATTTTACACACTATCCGGTTGTGGTGAGTAGCTGCCATTTTGAATTTTGACCTCTCCCACTTTCTGACAGGAAATTCCCACTGGAGGGTCATTCCAGTTTAAATTTCCAACTTTTAAGTGGGAAATCCCCACTTTCCAGTATAACTGGGTTGCAGCAAAAGTAGCAAGCAAGAATGCAGTGAAATGAAGATTTTACAGGGTGAGTTTTGGCTGTCGACCATTTTGAACCCTGTGCAGTTCCACCTAGTGGTGGGATGCTGTCATTTTGTAGGTAAAATAATCAACATGCAACATGGGAGATGCAGTTTACAGTCAATCCTGACTTTGAAGTAGATATATCATGTTTTTAAATCCTTCCTTTTCACATTTAAGTCATTCTGTTGGGGTCTTAATTTAGTGGAACTGCAATGCTTTGGWATGAATTCTTCTTATTCTAACTTTACCAGCCCCTTTTTCACCCCTTTTCCCGTCACCTTTTCAGAAATTTTTGCGGGCCACATACAATTCTGTGGTGGGCCACTTTTGGCCCCTGGGTCTTGAGTTTACCACATGTTATAGTCTGTCAGTTTAACCCCACAGTCAGTTGAGCAACATGTATCTGACATGCCTTGTCTGGTCCATCCTATGCTCTCTATGTGATCCTCCTCGGGGGTTTTGTAAGTCTTTGCTGCCACATCAGCTTTCTGGTTTGGTTTTTAAGAAAAAAGATTTGGTTTCACCTGTGTCAAATCTGCACTCTGGGTTTAAAACAATGAGGGCAAAATTCATTCATTATGGAGTTGGTTTGATTTGGTGATAAAGTGATGTTTGAGACCTCATCATCTTCTCCCATTTACACACACACACACACACACACACACACACACACACACACACACACACAC